GGTACGGTGCAATGGAATAAGATGCTCTTTGATGCAATGCAAAGTGGTATGTTGCGGTGTGTTGTGGTATGCTGTTATGTCATGCGATGAGATTTAATCGGTTAAGGTGCAATACGATACGATGCCGTGAGATTTAAAGTAATCTGATGCGATCTGATGTGATGTGATATGGTGGGATGAGATGTTATCCGATGTGAAATAATGTGATGCAATAAAATACCATTTATTTTCATGGTATACTAATAGATGCGATACGTTCCCTGTGAGGCGATGTGTTGTGCATCCGTGTAATGCTTTGTAATGTGACAAGAGCAGAATAGAGGCGAATAAATACGACACAATATAATGTAATTTAATGCAAGTAGAATCAATATGATGTGTTGTAACAGTATGCGATGCGATGTACTGTGAAAGGAGTAAATTGGATGTTATGTAATGTGATGCGATGTGATGAAATGTAATACGATGCAATGCGATGGGTTGAGATATAATGCAATATAAGGCGATATAATAAGATAGAATGCGATGATCGTAGATTGCATTCGAGGTGATGTCATGTAGTACCAGGTAATGCGATGTGATTGGATGCACCCGAGGAGCGATCACTCGGCTACTCCCTCGTTGGAGTAAGCAAAAGCCTATACTAACAGACTATGACTATGCAAAGCTTTAATCTAGCTCAAGTGACTATTAAGCAACATTGAGTTCTTTTTTGTGTGTTCCGGTCTGGCTGCCTTTAAATAGGTGTACAAGTAAAGGTCATCGACAGGTGAGGGGTTGAACCAAGAAATGAAACTTAGCCTTCAACTTCACCATCATTTCGCTACAATGGGTAGGGCTTACCAGCCTTATTTAGCTAATTTGCTTACCTCATGTTAATTGTATATTTGTATATTCTCCCATTCCTTCCATAAAAAGGCTGAAAGATACCGGATTCAGTGTCAAAATCTGGAGACAATGGAGCATTCTATGGAGGCGCAATTGGTCTCCTTGGAGTCAGATAATGCACGATTAAATAAGGAGCTAGAACAACGCGAGGTCTTCTGGGAACAGCGAGAGGCTGAGCTTGAAGGTGCATTGGCCTTAGCGGAGAACAATCAGGTGATAAATTTGCTTTAATTTATACACTATTTGTTTATAATTAACTTTTGGTTATTTTCGTTAAGGTTAGGTTTGAGATTGTCAGCAATTATTGAATTAGAACATAGCCTTGGTCGATTAAGCTAACTTAATGATTGCCACTTAATTTGTGTGAAGAAAAGTTGGGCTTGGAGCAATCTCTTTTTACCTCATTGTTGAGCTACTTCCATTTCGAGTGAAAGTTTTAGATGAAGAAATTCGAAGGTAAATCCCATTAGAGCAATACAACGGATTTCTATAGACGAGATGTCCATTGGCTTTACTGGAACATTCTTGAACAGTTAATAAAACTCGTTAGCTTGAATATGGTTGTAAGAATGCTAATTTGCTCTGATGATGTCCTTCATAGGAAAGACGAAAGCTTAGCACGTTTTCTCAGGAATCGAAGGTAATTCTCTCGGAGGCAGCATCAAAAAGAATGTTCCAGTAAAGCCGATCAACAGCTAGTCAAGAAGAGTCTGCCGTCATCTTCTGGTGGGATCGACCTTTGAATCTCGTCATCAAACACTTTCACTCGAAATGGAAGCAAGTTGGACAAATATTTAATTTATATAATATGTATTTACCCCATTTCGTTTAGGGTAATGAAGGACTGGTAGTTTAATTATACCACAATAAGTTAACGTGTCAAGCTCACATAATACACTATCATGGCTCGAGTCCCGCTGGGGGTGTTGATAAGACCTATGCGAGGTCGAAACTGCAGTTCACTGTTGCCTGAATGCAAAAAAACTGTTGGGAAAGCAAGGCTATGCGAAATTCAGTAGAAACGTCAGCTCTAGTCATATAATTATGGAAAAATTCTACATAAACGAAATAGGGTGAATACATCTCATATAGCCGATTTACTGGTAGTCTCGAAACTCTGCTTATATACGAAAAATGATTTAATTTGTTTCCAAATTGCTTTAATTAGACTTCAGGATTCTAGTGAATTTTACTTAGCCCTGCCTCCCCTAAAAATCCCCAAATCCAGCCTAGATACTAGTCTCCACATAACCTCGGTCCTATCTGCCCTTTCAATTGAATTCAACATCGTGTTGTACCCAAAACAGTCTGATTCTCAGGGCAGATGTAAGCTTATAGGTCAAGCGATGCATCTCCTAAATCAACTTTGAGCAGAGAGTGTAAATGAGACACGCATATTTGTGCCGCTACTAGGCCTTTATTGCGACCCAGGTGGAGTCAAAATCACAGTCAAGTCCACATGTGAAGACCGCCTGGTTGACGAGGCCCAGTAAAATTCGCTGCTATCATGAGGCCTACTCAATGCATCGACCAACCAAATTCTTGTTTTCCATTTAGTCATAAATTACTTTTGAGCCCCTTCATTCCTACCGATTTCATTATTCTTCCCTTTACTGCTTCTCTCTCTCATTCTTCCTTTA